AGGAGCTTCAAAAGTAAGTGGAGGAGTTGATGAGCAAAGGTTATATCAGGGAGAGAATGAGTCCATGTGTTGTACATGTTTTGCTGGTGCCTAAGAAGGACGGGACTTGGAGAATGTGCGTGGATTGTCGAGCTATCAACAATATCACGGTAAAGTATCGTCACCCAATACCTAGGCTAGATGATATGCTTGATGAGTTGCATGGTGCTTGCATTTTTAGTAAGATTCATCTTAAGAGTGGGTATCATCAAATTCGCATGTGGAGGGTGATGAATGGAAAACGGCGTTTAAGACTAAGTATGGATTGTATGAATGGTTAGTTATGCCGTTTGGACTCACTAATGCACCGAGCACTTTTATGCGTTTAATGAACCATGTTTTGCGTGCTTTTATTGGAAAATTTGTTGTAGTAATCTATAGTAAAAGCCTAGATGAGCATTTAGAACATTTAAATTGTGTGCTTGTCGTGTTGCGAAAGGAACAACTATATGCTAATTTCAAAAAGTGCACATTTTGCATGGATAGAGTTGTTTTCCTAGGATTTGTGGTTAGTGCTAACGGGGTGGAAATCGATGAAGAAAAGATAAAAGCTATTAAAGAATGGCCAACACCTAAGACTATAACTGAAGTTAGGAGTTTTCATGGATTGACTAGTTTTTATAGGCAATTTGTAAGAGATTTTAGCACCATCACCACACCGTTGACTGAAATAGTAAAAAAGGTATAGGTTTTCATTGGAGAGAGTCTCAAGAAATTGCATTTAACACAATTAAGGATAAGCTATATAAAGTACCTATTTTGACATTACCAAATTTTGATAAAACACTCGAGGTTGAGTGTGATGCATCAGGAATAGGTATAGGAGCAGTGTTAATGCAGGAAAGGAGACCTATTGCTTACTTTAGCGAAAAGTTGAGTGGGGCAGCATTGAATTATCCGACATATGACAAGGAGTTGTATTCACTTGTTCGAGCATTAGAGACTTGGCAACACTACTTATGGCCAAAGGAATTCGTGATACACACCGATCATGAATATTTAAAGCATTTGCGAGGTCAAGGTAAGTTGAACAAAAGACATGCGAGATGGGTGGAGTTTATCGAGACATTTCCCTACGTCATCAAGTACAAACAAGGTAACGAAAATATAGTTGCTGATGCGTTGTCTCGAAGGTAAGTGCTTTTAAATTCATTAATACTAAATTACTTGGTTTCCAACATATTAAGGGCATGTATGAATCAGATTGTGATTTTTCTAGTATTTATGCTTCATGTGACAAA